TGGATTGGCACTTGTGCTCGCTACCAGTACGGAGTCGGCCACACCTGTCACAACGCTCCTTCTGCTTGAAGATTTGAGTATGACGACATGAGTTGGCCTGATGTGAAGGCAACCCGCAGCGTAGGCAGTTATCAGGCGGTATACCAAGCTCTTTGGTAGCTAGTGCACAGATGGAGATGATCTGAGAATGATCGACCTTCTTGAGGCCACCTTTACCCGAACCTTGAGACCGTGACTGACCGGGCGTCATTGCCGTTAGATCATCGGGCAGGGGTGTGCCGTTGTCGAGAAAGGCGAAGAGTGCAAGCTTGTAAGCTTCATAGCCAAGCTGGCATTGGGGGTCAATTAGACATCTTCCCAGAACTTCACGGGCACCACGGAGACCGTCAGAGAATTTGGTGGTGATGTCACGGGCAGAAAGACCATGAGTATAGTAGAGAGCTGTGTATACATGTGCACAGTGCTCAAACCTCGTAGCATATTGACGGACAGACTCATTGGGTTGTTGGCAGATTCTCTCCCACGCAGCGGAGACACTACGCAACTCGAGCTTCGTCAGATAGGTATGGTCCAAGGCATAGATGATGATGACGTGACCAAACTTCTCGATGTCACTTGGGTGAACACTTCGTTCGACAGTGCCTTTGACAGGCTCTGGTAGACATGCCAGAACTGCCTCCGTAGCAACTTGTCGAGAGCATGGCACGCGCTCGATCGCATCAGCAAAGGCAACACGCCATCTAGCATAGGCACCACTGTGGTTAGGGTCGAACTTGAGGCGGTCATGTACAGGATGACCGATGAAGACACGAACCTGCTTGATAGCCTGATCGATAGGGCGCTTCGTGACATCAGTCTTAATCTGCAACGGACGAATACGGGGAGGGCATGTATAATTTTGATACCCCCCGAAGGTTGAGCATACGGCCGTGGGATTGTGCTGGATGTCGTAGTTGGAAGGGCACCGATAGACGAGCTCACTTGGGAGACCGATTGCTGTTGTGAAGTGGTAACAACAGCACC